TGGAAATTAATCCCTGTATGGTTCTGGTGATGGCTGGCCACAAATAAAACGTGTGCAAGGTTTGACAGGTAGAACAGCAGCATGGAAGCAGCGGCCACTATGCTCTGGAGGCCAGCGTGGGGTGCCAGGTGCTGCTGAGACTCACGCACCGCCATCGACCTGCTGGCTCATCTCGTCCAGACAGGTCACAGCCAGGCCTGCAGCTCTCCCAGCTCCTGCCGGATCACCTCCTTCAGCTTCTCCAACTCCTGGGCCGGACTCGTGTGCAGCTCCGTGGCAAAGAGCACTAGGTCCTTCTGCAGACGCCAGGATGGAAGGTGGCAAGGCTCAGACACAGGCTCCAGTTGTCTTTGCTCTTCCCCCACTCCACATCCAGTGTTTCTTCCCGCCTGACCTGCAGTGACCTCAGGCCCCCCACTGACAAAGGCAAAAACAGCCTGCACAGACTCCTGTAGCTCCTGCGATTGCGTAAGGTCTAATCTCTAAAATAAGTTCCTTATTCCATACCACTCATGGTGGTTTTGCCCCTCCGGTCAAAGATGAAAATCAAAAGTGATGGAGCAATTTGAACTCATGCTAAGTTTCAGATAAGTTTTAGTCATTAGATAATCTGTGTATATTTGTTACTTATAGATTCTGTAATGCTCAAAAGAATTTCAGCATATAAGCGCTATAGATGAGGCTCATTATTCTATTTAAAATGTATAACCGATTTCTAGTCAATGGTTCTAAGTTGAAGGGTGCAAAAGATGTTGACTATAAATAGAAGTATAGTGTCTGAGGGAACTTAAGATCCACTATATTATTAGACTTATGATTATATTTATTAAATTATATTCATATATTTGTAAATATATAAATATATTTATTATTAGACTTAGAAATAAGTATTTTTTTTTTTTTGAGACAGAGTCTCACTTTGTTGCCCAGGCTAGAGTGAGTGCCGTGGCGTCAGCCTAGCTCACAGCAACCTCAAACTCCTGGGCTCAAGCGATCCTTCTGCCTCAGCCTCCCGAGTAGCTGGGACTACAGGCATGCACCACCACGCCCGGCTAATTTTTTTGTATATATATTAGTTGGCCAATTAATTTCTTTCTATTTATAGTAGAGACGGGGTCTCGCTCTTGCTCAGGTTGGTTTCGAACTCCTGAACTCAAAGGATCCGCCCGCCTCGGCCTCCCAGAGAGCTAGGATTACAGGCGTGAGCCACCTCGCCCGGCCAGAAATAAGTATTTAGGGAAACTTTTCTTCTAATGTCAAAAGCCTGTCCAGTCATATATTTAAGTACCTAAAAAGAAAACTAAATATATTAAATTTAGATATGCAATTTAAAATATTTAAAGGAATTCAGTGGACTACCTTTGTAATGGAATTGATTACTAGTGAAATTTAGATTGTTCAACTTGACTTAATCAAATTTTAATTTTAAAAAGTGAAGATTATTGTTTTTGTTTTACTATATTATAAATAGTAAAATAAAATCTGTAGGTTGATAATAAAGAAAAACAAAAGGTTCGGCTTTCAAATTTTTATTAGGTTCATAATAAAATAACAAAATTTGTAATTTAAACTTTAAAAATATAAGGAACATTAGGTTTTTTAAATTAATTACTTTAGTACAGTTATATTCATTTACAATTCCAGTAACTATACATAGGCCTTTATTCTGTGACTTCAAACGTCAAAACACACAAACTTGCAACATAGTGCTTCTTACAGCTCTCTCTAGCCAGCCGGTCCCATTCCTTTGACATAAAAATGTGATAGTTCTCCTCAGCCTAGAAATGTCCACACTGTCCATCCTAAAGTTCACACTGATTACTCTGAGCTCTAATAAAGGTGAGATTTGTTCCACTTGCCTACCATATACCTCCTCTTACTAGATTTCCTTAGTCTTTTCCTTCTGTTCTGAGTTCCACCCCACTTCAGGAATCCTGAGTTCTCACACAGCCCTACCCCTGGGGAAGAAGGAAAGGAGCTGGTGATTGATTCTTACTCCAGTAAACATGTTCTGGCACCTACTCTGCATCAAGCCCTGTGCAGGGCGTTCACCCAAGTTACCGGACATAATTGCTCCTATCCACCCTATGAGGTAAGTACCAGCATCCCCAAGTTACAGTGGAAACAGACTCACGGGGCTTGAGCAACTGGCCCAGCTAGCAAGTGACTAAGCAGAGACATGGCTGTGGACGTGGTCTAGGCAACACGGATTTACCTTGAATCACCCAAAATAATACTACACTTCATACGAAACCAGAGAGGACCCTGAAATAGCCAAAGCAACCTTAAGCAAAAAGAACAAATTGGGAGGTATCAATTTACCAGACTTCAAGCTATACTACAAGGCTATAGTAACCAAAATAGCATGGTCCTGGCACAAGAACAGAGACATAGACCAATGGAACAGAACAGAGAACAGATATAAAGCCATTCTCATATAGCCATCTGATCTTTGACAAAGCAGACAAGAACAGAACATACATTGAGGAAAAGAACCCTTATTCAATAAATGGTGCTGGGAAAACTGGATGGCCACATGCAGAAGACTGAAACAGGATCCCCACCTCTCACCTCTCACAAAAATCAACTCATGATGGAAAACAGACTTAAACCTAAGGCATTAAACCGTAAGAATTCTAGAAGAAAATGTTGGGAAAACTCTTATAGACAGCGGCCTAGGCAAAGAATTTATGAAGACCCCAAAAGCAATCCCGGCAACAACAAACATAAATAAATGGGGCATGATCAAATTAAAAGGCTTCTGCACAGCCAAAGAGATGCTTCTTCAGATTTTCACCATCTGACTGATCTTTACACGCCCTCCCCGGACTCCTCTGACCTCCCCGCCACCAGGCCCCTGCCTGTGCCTGTAAGTCTCAGCATCCTCTGTGGGCAAGATGCCCATCAAAGCAGGGGACATCGATTCTGGCCCAACTGGTGGGTAAAAGAAAAGGCTACCACAGCCCTTGCCCATTTGGGTTCCTTTCCCTTCAGGAAGGGCTCCCAAAACCCTGCAGGAGAGAAGCGCCAGAGGAAGCAACCCTGAGGAACGGTGAGCCTCTGCCGCCAACCCACGCTGGTCCTCTCCCTCCCCAGGCAGAAAGAGCTGTCAGAAGCAAGGGAGTGCGGGAAAGATTAGTCAGACATTTCCCTTTCTGTGCTACAGAGTCACACTCTCCATCTGTGACTTCACCTAAGTCGCTGAAGAGCCCAGCAATGGCCCACAGGGTGTCATAGCAACACGCCTACACCTTAAGCACCACCTTCCAACTCTGTAGAGAAAACAATCGCCTCCTTCAAAAGTCAACATGCTGCATGAGCAATGAACAGTTTGAAAATTAAGTTAGGAAAACAATTTCAAAAAGAATAAAAACTTGGGGATAAATTTAACAAAGAAAGGCCAAGGCTCATACACTGAAAAATACAAAACATTATTGAAAGACATTAAAGAAATCCTAAATAAAGGGAAAGATATTCATGTATTCATATGGAGCAAAAGACTTAATACAGTTAAGATGGTAATGCCCCCCAATTTTATCTACATATCCAATGCTATGATCATGCCACTGCACTCCTGGGTGACAGGGTGACCCTGTCTCTAAAAAAAAAGAAGAAAAAAGTGGTGTTGGGACAACTGTATATCATACAGGCAAAAGAATAAAGTTGGACCTCTACCTAAAACCATATAAAAATTAACTCAAAATAGATCAAAGAACTAAATATAAAAGTTAAAACTATAAAACTCTTAGAAGGAAACATAAGTGAAAATCTGTACAACCTTGTATTAGGCAATAATTTCTTAAATATGACACCAAAAGCACAAGAAACAAAAGAAAATATAGATAAATTGGACTTCACCAAAATTTAAAACTTTTATGCATCAAAGGACACTATCAAGAAAGTGAAAAAAACAACTCACAGAATGGGGGAAAATGTTTACAGACTCATATCTGGTAAGGGTCTAGTATCCATAATATACAAAAACTCTTGCAACTCAACAATAAAAGGGACAAATAATCCAAATAAAATATGAGCAAAGGACTTGAATGGACATTTCTCCAGGGAAGATACACAAATGCCCAAGAAGCACATGAAAAGATGCTCAACATCATAGTCTTAGGGAAATGCAAAACAAAACTACAATGAGATACCACTTCACACCAGCTAGGATAGCCATAACTTTTCTAAAAATAGAAATTTACATGTGTTGGCAAGCATGTAGAGAAATTGGAACCATCATGTACTGTTGATGGAATGTAAAGTGGTGCAGCTGCTATGGAAAATAATTTGTTAGTTCCTCAACTAGTTGAACACAGAGTTATCACATAACCCAGCAACTCCACTAGTAGGTATATACCCAAGAAAATTCAAAACATATGTTCAGATATTGATAAAAACGTATACATGAACATTAGTAGTAGTAGTATTCAAAATAGCCAAAAAGTGGAAATAACCCAAATGTCCATCAACTGGTGAATGGATGAACAAAATGAGGCATATATCCATACAATGGAATATTATTCAGCCACAAAAGGAATGAAGTATTGACACATGCTACACCATAAATGGCTCTTGAAGACATTATGCTAAGTGAAAGAAGCCAGACACAAATGGTCCCATATTGTATAATTCCCTTCATAAGAAATGTCACAAATAGGCAAATCCATAAAGAAAATAGATAGATTAGGGCCGGGCTCATGCCTGTAATCCTAGCACTCTGGGAGGCCGAGGCAGGCGGATCACTCAAGGTCAAGAGTTTGAAACCAGCCTGAGCAAGAGCGAGACCCTGTCTCTACTAAAAACAGAAATAAATTAATTGGCCAACTAAAAATATATTTAAAAAATTAGCCAGGCATGGTGGCGCATGCCTGTAGTCCCAGCTACTCAAGAGGCTGAGGCAGGAGGATTGCTTCAGCCCAGGAGTTTGAGGTTTCTGTGAGCTAGGCTGACGCCATGGCACTCTAGCCCAGGAAACAGAGTGAGACTCTGTCTCAAAAAAAAAGAAAAAGATAGATTAGGAGTTGCCAGAGGATGGCGGAGAAGAAAATTGGGAGTGACTGCTAATGAATAGCAGCTTTCTTTTAGGAGAGATGGAAATGTTCTGGAATTAGATAGTGGTGGTATTTGCACATCTTTGTGAATACACTAAAAACCACTGAACTGTGCATATTTAAATGATTAAAATGATTCATTTTATCTCAATAAAAGTCAACATGCACCAAAGAGCTCTTCAGTCTGAGTTGGAGGTCAGTGCAGTCTTAGGGAGGCAGAAGCCTCAGGGTCACTCCCGTCCCAACTGCCCTGTGACACGTGAGGTAAGGGATACGCCCTCCTTGCTGGCTGAAGCCCCTGTGGTTGGTAAGGGAGGGGCAGGAGAGGCCTCCCCAGCCAGGAGGAGGCTCTTCTCAGTCGGGGTAGATGGCAAACATCTGAAGAGATCCACGCGATTGCAGAGGCCCTGCAGGTTGGGTCAGGAAGATAGGAATGTGGGGAAGAGGCAAAGGTGGACTTGAAAACACTGGTGGCGACAGAAGATAAAAAGACATAAGCCACAGAAGAGGAAATACAAACAACTAATGATCATGGAAGATGTTCGGCCTCACTGGTAATCAGAAGAACGCACACCGAAACAGGACAGCATTTTCTCCAATTAGATTGTCAAAAATGGCTTGCTGCTCTGAAAGGTTGGCAGGATGTGAGGAAATACGTGTTCTCATGCACTGCTGGTGGGAGTGTGAACTGGTAGAGCCAATTTGGAGCGCAACTCACCAGTATCTATTCAAGTGAAAAATGTGCACACCCTGTGACTCAGCGATTCCAATGCCCAGTGTTTATTCTAGAAAGACACTCTCACATGCACAGTGAAGTATAGGATGTTTGCGTGACACCGTTTGCAACAGTGGGATGCTGGGAACAGCCCAAGTAGTCATGAATAGAGAACGGCTAAAACCCTCTGTACATCATTCTCTATTTAACGAAATGAGCGGTTCTTACGTATAGAACAAAACGCACTCTGGGAGGTCAAGGCGGGGGGATCATTTGAGATCCGGAGGATCACCGGAGCCCAGGAGTTGGAGGTCGCAGTGAGCTATGATCAATCCACTGCACTCTCGCTAGGGCAGCAGAATGAGACTCGGTCTCAAAAAAATAAATAAATACATAAATAAATAAAAATAAAACGAAATGATCTCTAAGACATCAATGGATTTAAAAAGCAAAAAATAAATTCTAGAAGGATACATGCTGTATATAATTTATGAAAAAAAAAAAAAACAAAAACAAAAATACAAGTGCGCTGGGGCTCTTGGAAAATTCTGCCTGACAGGCTGAGACATTAGGCCAATTAACAATTCCTTTTTTATCTGGGAAAAGATGGACTTTACAAAGCAACACAAGAACATGGGGCTGCCAGAACGGGGCTGTTTCATTTCCCAGAGAGAGTGTTTTAGCGAGTGGAGAGAACCAATATGCGATGTGGTCGTTAGGCTTTATTTCTGGCTCTGTGTTAGGAGAATTATCGCAGCCTTGTGTAAGATTTCCTTTAGAGAATAGAGGTGACCTGCCATGCCCCAAATAAGAAAGGAAAGGTTACCATCAGCTGTCACACCTGTCAGTCACCTCCGGTGTGAAAGAACGAGGCCAGCCCCTTGCCGGAAGACGCAGTGTGGGGCTTCCCCACCTCTCCCGAGATCCAGGCAGAGGACCCTCAGTAGGAGAGCGGCTGAGAAATCAGACTGAGAAATATTTGATTACTGCTTAATAATATTTTAAGTAGAAAATAAAAGGGACTTTACTGGAGAAATCCATCTGGCTTTTTGCTGGTAGATGTCTGTCTCTGGGGGTTCTGGGTTTTCATTCCTGCTGTATAAAAAGAACCTGTTTATCAATGGACAACCTAGCAAGGAAAGGGAACTCTCCCCCTTCCTAGCCATGAAATGTTCCTAAAATAATTTGTATAGACATATTTAAAAAAACATACACATATAATTTATTTATTTGTCTAGGAACGTTCCGGAAGAATACTCACCAATCTGAAACTGCGCCCACCTCTAAGGCAGCAGGGACAGGACCAGGGCTGAGGGGAGGAGACTGATCAAAGGATACTTGACTCTTATCTATAAGTTTTTAATTTTTTTTCCATTTTCACCTCTGATTTTTAAAATATAATTTAATATTTTTATTGTGAACTATATCAGGTATATAAAATAGTATATAGAAATAACAATATGAAAACTCGTTAATATCAGAACATTATCAGAAACGTAGATGCTCCTAATCACCCTCTTCCCTCCCCAACCACGGGAACCGGCGTTGGCTTGTGCCCGTCATTTCCTCCCTTTTCTTTCTAGCTCCGCCAGCTATGTGCGTCCCCTCGACACTTAATAACTTGTTTAGTTTTGCCTGTTTTTAAATTTCATACGTATGGAATCTTACCCACATGCTTTTCTGGGCTTGCTTCTGTGGGCTTGCTCAATATCACTTAACATTATGCTTTTTCATTTATTTATTTACCAATTTTTATTGTGGTAAAATATACATAAAAGTTACCATCTTAACCATTTTAAGTGTACAGTTCAGTGGCATTAAGTACATTCACATAGTTGTGCAATATTATGCCTTTGAGACTCACCCAAATTAGTGTACGGGGCCACGTGTGGGTCACCCCTTTTCATTCCTCTAAAGGACTCCATTGTGTGAATAGACCACTGGGTGAATATACACAATTTATTATTCAATCTACTGTTCTTTTCTTTCTTTCCTTTTCTTTTGCTATTACAAACAGCGGCGCTTGAACATTCTTGCACACATCTGCTGGGGCACAGGTACAAGACTTCTTAGTAATATACCTAGTGATGGGATTGATGGAGTTTACTGGTTTAATTTTCTAGGAGATGATATGAATGTATTACTTGTATAATTAGATTTCAATTTAAAAAAAGAAAAGAAAGAAGCTGGGATGGCTTCATGAAGTGAAGGGCAGGAGCAGGAAGGCACAGGAAGAGAGGCTGAGGCGCGTCTGCAGCTGCGTGCAGGTGTCGTCAAGCACAAAGCCAGCTCGACACATGTATGGAGCAGCTGACAGGTGTCTGCTCTGTGAATTCGCGTCAGCAGGAGGCTGGGAGCCAGGAGATGTGGGTTCTCTCCCAAGTCTGCCACACAGAGCACGTCATTTAGCCTCCTCGCCTAGTGGTTCTGAGGGTCAAGGTCAGAGCCTTGCCTTCCAGCTCTGCTGGCTTGGAAGACTGCTAGAGTAGTAAATCAGGAGCTTGCCACACTTGTAGTTGTATCTAGAAGCCAGAAGGAGAGGGTCGGAGCCCAGAGAGGAAAGAACTCTGTGTCTCTAGGATCCAAAAAATGACTGAAGACGATCACTGGCTCACCCTGGTAAGCCGGTAGCAGTAGTGGGGTGGTCATTGTTTAACAGTTGGCTCCCTGAGGTGGGAAGCCCTCAATTTGTAGCTTTTGTTGATCCTGGGGTTGTAAGTATTCCTGCCATGGCCAATTTGCCAATGTCAAGCTACCAGCTCACAAAATTTCTGCAATGTAACAACCTGGCTTGGGCTAGGCAGCACCAGGGGGCCCAGCACACCCTGTGAAGTGAACTGCCCTGAGGGCTCAGGCTCAGATGAAACCCACGCAGGGCAGAAGAGGAAATGAAGGCATGCAGTTACTCACAGGACTCACAGTGCCCTAGCCTCAGAGTTGGGGGAGATTATGGCGTGACATCCCTCCCCACTGTAGGGAAGGTCACTAGATTAACTGCGTGTAGTCTACGCTCATCCGGTCAGCAACAGGGATTGTTGTGTCCAAGAATTCTGTATCTCAGAACAGAATGTCAGAGTAACAAGCTCACACCAACGTAAGCAACAAATGGAGGTTTATTTAAGCTAGCTCGAGCTAGGGTCCAGGTCCCAGAGCACCAGCTCAGTGGTCTCTTTAGACAAGGACCCTTGGCAAGGTTTCAGCACAGGTTTTATACTTTTAGTTGTTGTGCAACTCAGGTGACTGGTTACAAGTGGTATCCAGAGCCCACCCAGCACCCACACATCCCACTCAAGCTGTTCACGCGCTGATCATGCTGGCCGTGTATTGATTTATTGATTGGTTGGCTAGGTCCCAGGGACTTTGCACTACCTTATCAGGTAGTACCTTACCGGTTTCCTCCCTGGGGCCTTGTTTGTTCTCTCTCTCTTTTTTTTTTCTTTTACTTTGTAGAAGCCTGTCATGGCTTCAGTCAGGCTAAGTGGCAAGCAAGCAAGCAAATTACAAAAGCTAAGGTACAGAAGCCAAGATAGTGGTTAGCTTCTATCCCACAGGATGGCTCATTAAAAGAGCAAGTAGGAAATGCCAGGGGCCCAGGAGTCCATTGTGAGGGGGAAACAACCCCCACCCCCTTGCAAAATCGCTATTCTGCATTGTGAAGTGTGAACAATACACGCAGAGCGGACACACTGCCCATGCACAGCTTGTTCTATTTAGTGAGTTGTTCCGTCTCTTTCACGCTCCTTTGCTTTAGCTCCCAGGTTAATTGGCTGTTCTTTCAATCCTATTTCTTGGGACTTGCAGCCTCAAACAATAAGGAATAGAGAGAAGGAAGGAACGTTTATTGAGCATCCAAACGAAGCAAGGCATTTCATTCACATTGTTATGCTTAATTGTCCCAACATGCTGCATGGTCCGTGACATTCACCCCAAGTATAATATTAATAGGTGAAGACTCAATTCACAGAGGTTCTGGAATGTGCTGGAGCTGGCCCAGGTAATAACTGGCAGAGATGCATCTGGCCCACCAATCTGTCTGGCTCTGAGAGTCACGCTCTCTCCACCTGCCCCAGGAGCCTCCTGTCTCAATGGGCTTGGGGCGCCCGCACCACCCCTCTGTTCCAGGTCAAGACTACTCCCTTGACAGCCACACTGTCCTGCACGGCTCCTCCCTTGCCTGGTGTCTGAGAATTTCCTTTTACCAGTCTTGCCCTTCCCTGGCGCCAAAGACTGACAGTCAGAAAACGTCAAAGGTCAGCGCTCAAACCCCACATATATCAATTCACGTAGCATCTGACTTCAGAAATTAGCTTTACCTCAGACCAAAATTAATTCGCTAAACCATATATCACATAAAATCACAAGTGTCGACAAGACCTAAACAGAGATCGTACGCAGGTAGGAGAGGACCACATGCCCCCTACGAAGGTGTGACTTCCGCCTCCTGCAACAAACACCTTGAGGTGCTGCACGGAGGCTCTCACAGGAGTTGGGCTCTCCACAAAGAAAGGGAAGTCCCAGGTGGCAGAGACGGGGGAATGGCCGAGGAGCGGCCAGCATCAGTCACCCCACTTGGGTCCAGAAGTGAAGACCTTGGGCCCCACCATACAGGAAATTGAAAGCACATTGGAAAAGACATCCTTCCACATAAAGCTAGAAACCTAAAGTGAAATGTAGAAAAATCCTCTCACCAATACAGCGCTTCAACAAGGAAGTTTGTCTCTGCCTGCCTTCTAGGTGGAGAAAAAACTGTCTTGAAATTTGGGCTGGGCTCAGTTGCTCAGGCCTGTAATCCCAGCACTCTGGGAGGCCAGGAGTTCAAGACCAGCCTCAGCAAAAATAGAGAAATTAGCTGGATGTGGTGATGTGTACCTGTAGTCCCAGCTACTTGAAAGGCTGAAGCTGTTAGGGCCTAGGGCCCATAGATAGCCAATAACCAGCCATTAGCTTCTGTATTATGCTTGCTTGCTTGCTTGGAGAGTGGGAAATTTTCAGTTGACCCTTATCTGACTCCACACCTGCCATCCTAACTCTGCTAGTGTGATTAAGTTTAAAAACTAAGGGTGGTGGTGCATGGCACAACTGCCCCCCCCCAAAATATATAGCCTCTAGGCCAGGGTCGAAGCGCCCTGGACACCTGAGGCGCCTGACATGCTTCGTGTACCCAGTAAAACGAGTTCTGGCTTAGACCACAGGATGCAGGATGTACTAAGATTGATGTTGTCCATAAATTAGGATACTTTAGGGTAATCCTCTGGGCTGAATCTTACTTAACTGCAGCCGGTGACTCCTACAAAACCCATCTCAAGGCTCCAACCCCCCATTGTGCTAAAACAAGATAAAAATGTAAGATTAATGCTTTCTCTCACTTCTGTAAAAGTGCTTGCTAATTAGCTTTTCAGAGTGTGTTGTTGTTTATTTGCCTTTAAAAAAGGGCCGTTTTCCACTCTCATCACTACTTCCTGTGCCTGCCACTCTGCAGGACAGGAGTAGTCCTGGCCAGTAAATAAAGACTCACAATTTGGCCCAATTCGGTTTCTAAGGTGGTCTTTTCTCACACTTTGGACTATAACAAGGCAGGAGGATCCCTTGAACCCAGGAGTTTGAGGCTGCAGTGAGCTATGATGACGTCACTGCAGTCCAGCCTGGGCGACAGAGCAAGACCTTGTCTCGGGGAAAAAAAAAACTGGAGGAAAAAAAAAAGTTCTGCCACATCTAACAGCCTGATGGTCTTCTGTTATTAATAGTTGGTTTAGAGGAAAATTCAAGCAAGTCTTGTATCCCAGATTTGGGGCCCGAGGCAGGGTAGAGGTGAGGAATCAATCAGGAGACACGAGGAGAGAACAAGACTTGGGCCCAGGAGGCATCGGACCTAGCGGTGGCCCCAGGAACATGAAACCCACTGGGATTTGTGCAAGTGGACAGCCTGCCAGGACTGCCCTGAATGGAAGTTGGGGAGTATCTTAGCCAGACTTCAAAGGGCAGGGCGGCACCTAGGCTGCACTCGCCGGTCCAGACGGAGGGTTTGGTCAGGCCCTCTCAGAAGTCATGAACGTCCTCAAAGGAAAGGGCTCCGCGGGCTCATGTCTGGGGATGAAAGAAGAGCAGGGGGCTGTTGAAAGAAGACCTCATGTCTCTGCCCAGCCAGGCGTGGGGAAAGGCTGACCCCGAAAGAGGAAGCAGTGGTGGGAGATACCGAGAAATAGGTAGACAAAAATGGAGGGACGTGGGGGAGCCCGCCTAGGGTGGAGCAAACCTCGCCAGAAGCTGGCGCAAAGAGCACAGGAGGCAGGAGGCCAGGTCATTCCACTTGCCCAGGGAAGAGGAAGGTCCAGGAACCCAGCTTTCCTCCCCTTGGCCAAAGTACTCCAGGAGAGGCCGGGGGAGCCTGCTCTGCTCTGACCCCCACGGAGAAGTGACAAGTAGAGGAGGGAGATGGGCCACTGCACTTCTGCCTGGGCAACGTGGCAAGACCACATGTTTGAAATAAATAAATTAATAACAGTGAAGATATTTCCCACAACCTGGGAATGGTCAGAGACAGAAAAGTCCTCTGGTCCCAAATTCAGCACTCTCTGCAGGGGGAGTTAGGCACCCTGACTGATAGCGAAAAGGACAGTTTGCATGAGTAGCTCTTCAAATCACACGCAGATGTGGCTTCCCACTTGAGAGAAATCTAGTATTTCGGGGGAGGGGGTAAGTAGAATGTGAGGACCCCCCTGAGGCACTGCAGGGGGCTGGGAAAGGCCAGCGGAGGAGGAAATGAAGAGAATGGAAACTGACGAGTGAGATAGAGAACAGATCTAACAGATCTGGCAGGTGCAGCCACAGGGGTGTGACCTTTAGTGAGCACTGTGGAAACAACTGCAAAGCCTTTAAATGAAAGACTTCTGAGGACAGAAGCCACCAGAGTCTCAGTCATGGGGAAGGAGTCGGGGGAGGCTGCTGACCACATGTGTTTCCAGGACTCAAAGAGGGAAAAGTTCATCCGTCTCCGGTATCGCCAAATCAGTATTGCTGGAAAACTGGGGGAAGGGGAAACAGATGATCCACAGGAATCTAACTTTAATGCCCATTGCCCAAGGCTAGGAGAGGAGGTGACCCAGGAGCTCCAGGACACCAGCGACTGACAGAGCCAGAGGTGGAAAGGGGAAGATAAAATTGGTCTGAGGGGCCGGGCAGTGGCTCACGCCTGTAATCCTAGCACTCTGGGAGGCCGAGGCAGGAGGATTGCTCAAGGTTAGGAGTTCGAAACCAGCCTGAGCAAGAGCGATATACTAAATACTAAATACTAAATACTAAAAATACAAAGAAATTAGTTGGTCAACTAAAAATATATAGAAAAACTTACCCGGGCATGGTGGCTCATGCCTGTAGTCCCAGCTACTCAGGAGGTTGAGGCAGAAGGATTTCTTGAGCCCAGGAGTTTGAGGTTGCTGTGAGCGGAGGCTGACGCCATGGCGCTCTATCCCAGGCAATAGAGTGAGGCTCTGTCTCAAAAAAAAAAAAAAAAAAGGTCTGAGAAAGGCACACTGGGCAATGGGTGGTACCCGTGTCACAGGCTGGCATGAGGACTAGAGGGGAGCATATGTGATCTCTTGTCCAGAGTGACAGAGAAGAGCCACAGGCCTAAGTCCTCTGCAATGCTGAACAATTCTGTAGCAAACTCTTTGGCCATAAAACCTCAATTAATGCAAGGCTATTTATGGTCATTATTCATCCTACTTGGTGTAAAAATTCAATAGTCTTTCCGCTGAAATGTTGTTTGATTATGAGTGCTACCTCAGCTCCACAAGGGTGTTTTATGGTGTTAGTTTCCTTATAAGTCTGAAAAATTCCAAATTCCCAAGCTTACCTGACCCTAGAAACCCCAGAGAAGAGCCCGTGGACCTGTGCTCAACTCTGGCTCCCTTCCTTCTTTAAACTGTCATCTCTGTGAAAGAAGGGGTGGAGGTGTGGGGAGGAGGGGACATGGGACTTATCCTGTAACCTGTGGACAGGGGTGAAGTGGGCATCGTTGTGCACAAGTGTGTGGACAAGCGGAGTGGGCAACATGTGCATCCATCATCCTGTTTTTGTGAGAAAAGCAGGCGAAGAGGGTTTGCGTGCTGCATGAGCAGGACAGAGGCAAAAGCAAGGGAGGCTGGTGTGTTAGAAGAGACATCTTTGAAGGGCAGTAGGTCTCTGACAGCGTTTGCCCTTTAAAACTCTGCCCAGCATGCGGAAAAGGGGAGGGGGTGGGAGTTGCTGCTGTGAGAAAAAACAGCCACAGCAGAGCGTCAACTGCCATCAAAGGTCGGCTTGCCACCAGAAGTGGAGCAACTCACTGAGGGCCCGTGGCCGTGGCCACCACCCAGCAGGTGCAACGGAGAGGCAGCAGTGCCCAGGGGAAGGGCCACCTCACTGGGGCCAGGCAGCAACGAGAACGCCGGAAGGGGTCCCTGGGCAGGAGCCATGACATGGCCACCTCCCTGCTGGCTGTGCATTCTGGGGACCCTGGCAGGGCTCTCAGCTACCCCAGCCCCCAAGAGCTGTCCAGAGAGGCACTACTGGGCGCAGGCCCAACTGTGCTGCCGGATGTGTGAGCCAGGTAAGAGAGTGGGCCTTGGCGGGGCCAGCTGAGTGGCAGAGAGAGGACTGGGTTAAGGCACGGTGCGCACAGGGTGACCGGGCTCGGGCAAGGAGAGAAGTCCCGCAGCAGCCAGGAGGCGCCGCCTTGAAGACGGCAGAGATTGACCTTCCTGGGATGTTGATCCCGAAACCTCTGCCCACAGGAACATTCCTCGTGAAGGACTGTGACCGGCACAGAAAGGCTGCTCGGTGCGATCCGTGCACACCAGGGAGCTCCTTCTCTCCAGACCACCACAGCCGGCCCCACTGCGAGAGCTGTCGGCACTGCAACTCCGGTGAGGTGGCGAGGCTGGTGGAGCTGGGTTTGGGGGAGCAAGGAGGATGGCAGTGGGGACTTTGGCCTTCTGCAAGCTCACGGCAGGTGGAGCCAATGATGGGAAATGGGGTGCCCTGGGCAGGGCACATATTGCTGTGGGGAGAAATCTAGTATTTCGGGGAAGGGGGTAAGTAGAATGTGAGAGATTGGTGAGAACGGGTCAACGAATAGGATGGAGACAATAAAAAGAAGCAAGTGGCTCTGGGACCCCAGATTTCAGACAAGCAACCCCCAACCAATACACGGGCTGTGTTCCCAGAGTGCACATAGTACGTTGGCTATTTGGGACTTGGGATACATCTTTCTAAGGAAATGACAATATAAAGCAGTAGTAACAACCTTTTTTTGCACAAAAGCCAATTTGGGAGTATGAGCATATATGTGGCCTGTGCTTTTATTTCGTAATTCTGTCTTTTTAAAAATTAAGAAGTATAATATCTGTGGCTGTGCTTATGAACTCTAGTATTTCTCCATCTTAGCTACAATTTCAGAGACTATATGCCAGTACACACTAGAATAGCAGTCTTTAAAGTCGCCCCTTTGAACAAATGTTCTCCAGCAAGACACTTTTGAGAACCACTAAATTGTAATTACTAAACTACTTGTAAAAAGTGTTTGGTCTCACTAGGTCTTTTATTATTGTACTCTGAAAAACGGGGGGGGGGGGGGAGGGTTGCCATTGCAAGTCAGCCAAAGAGCACCATCTTTCATACACAAGAAATAGCCCTCAGTCCACTTAACATAAAAATGATTGTTGATAGATGCTTTTCTCCTGTTTGCAGCAGCCTCAGCAGGGCCACTCGCTCTGTAGGTCCCACCTGAAGGCCTTTGCCCCACACTGAACGAGGCCTCAGTCCCTTCACTATAATCCAGACCAGCCCAACCCATGACCCTTCTCTGTGAGACTCATCCAATAGATCCCAAAGTCCTCTGGCAGCATCTGGCTGCAGAAGGACCCTGGGGCACTTGGGCCAGAGGTGCGGTGAGCAGAGGAGGCCACATGAGTGTGGCCCTCTCTGGACCTCAGTGCTTACATCTGGGAGGTGAGGAAGTGCCTGAAATCCAGCTGGAATTCTGAACACAGGTTATGCGTGGTAAATAGAACCACAGGTCTCTGGATGCTCATCACTGAAAACAATGGCACTTCACGCCTTTTTAACCACCAGCCCCTTCTTGAACTCTTCCCCATCCCTTTTAGCAGAGACCCTTATAATCACCCTTCACAACCACCACTGTCCCCACCCCCATCACTGTCCCAGGCTTCCCTTACCCTCCCTTTGCAGATCCTCGTCCAGGCTGGCTCACAATTCCTGGGAAGCCACAAGGAAACAAATTCGAGTAGCAACTCAGAGTCATAATTCAGGGCATAAGGGCACAAGGAAGAGAAGAAGGACTTGTCCCTGTCCCTGTCCTGACAAAATCATGGTGAAAAGTTGTTAGAGTTGGTAATGGTCTTTGGCATCCTCCCTTTTTGCACCCCTCTTTCACCTGTCAGGGCTCCTAGGACTCCCTGGGTCCCATGAATGTGCTGCTCTAAGGCATACCACACTCCCATGCAAGCCTACCCCACATCCGGTGTTGCTGCCTTCCTCCGAACCACCCTCCTCTCAACCCCAACCACCTGTGAGCCCAGCCCAGCCTATGCCCAACACCACTCTCCTAGCACAACTGATTTGCAGCCACCCAGCACCTGACCGCTACACTGAGTAAAATTTATATGTAAAGGCAAAGGATTCTGTAATCAAATAACTCTCTAATAAAGATACAAACATGCCAGGGATCATAGCAGCACTACTCCTGATTGCTAAAAATTGGAAACTACCCAAATGCCCACTAATAGTAAAATGGATGAATAAACCATGGTATAGTCATATGATGGGACACCATACAGCAATGAGAATGAACAATCTGCAATTACAGCCAACAATATGGGTGAAATTCACAAAGGTTTGAGTAAAAGAAACCAGGTGGAAGTGAGTGCATGCCACAATTCCACCCGTACAGTCCAATAGGCAAAGATAATTCATGGTGTTAGGAAGTCAGAATAGTGGCTACTCTTGGGGGGAGAGTAGCTAGGAGGGAGTATTGCTTGTCACCTTCTGTCTCTTGATCTGGTGCTGGTTACACCTGTGAATCCAATTTGCACAAATTCTAAAGCTTAACACTTATGTGTACCTCTATAAAATATATTATAGTTCAATAAAAAGTTATTAAAGTATCACCAAGAGAAAACTACATAAGCTCTATTTTCCATAATTTCTTTTTCTGATTCCATGAATCTTCCAAAAGGTACAAGTTTCTTCTTTAATAACAATGATAATGGCAAAGGCACTGGGTGATAGTGGGGTGGGGGGGGCAGTCCCCTGGCAAGGGGTAGTGGAAAGGGCAGCATGTCCCTAGAGGTGGGTCTGGGATGGGGTTTGGGGGATTAAGTAGTGGACCTCGAAGGTCTCTGAAGATCTGAGAGTCCTGTGCACCCCTCTCTCCCCAGGTCTTCTCATTCGCAACTGCACCATCACTGCCAATGCCGAGTGTGCCTGTCCCCATGGCTGGCAGTGCAGAGATAAAGAATGCACCGAGTGCGATCCTCCTCCAGGCCCCTGGCTGACCACTCACCCATCTCCAGGCCCGGGCCCACACCCTCAACCCACCCACTTACCTTATGCCAAAAGTAAGTTCCAGGCAATCCTCTGTCCAATCATTTGGGGTAGGGGTGACACCCCAGCCAGCACTCCCCACTTCCAGTGCCACCCCCAGATACAGTCAGCCTGCTCAGATCTTCAGACCAGCATTCCCTGGGGCTCCCTGCTCTACTCCTGTCTGTTTCTCCAGAGAAGCCAGAGGCCAGGACCGTGCAGCTGGTGCAGACGGTGGCTGACTTCAGGCAGCTGCCTGCCCCTGCTCTCTCTACCACCTGGCCAGGTGAGCGTTCTCCCTGATCCCCACCCCAGAGAGAATGCATACAGGAAAGGCCAGGAGGGAAGCCAGTGTGAAAGCTCCTAGGAGTGAGGGTAAGCAGAGTCTAGGGTTAGGAGAGGCCTTGGTCCAGTTGTGGGGGTGGGGTGAAGAAGGTGGAGGAAAGGAGAGAAGCAGGGTGACAGGAGGGTGGGGCTGAGAGATCCAGGAGCTACACTCTCCCCAAAACCCCTATGTGGCCCTGCCTATACAGCCCAGAGGTCCCTGTGCAGCGCAGACTGTATCCGCATCTTTGTGATCCTCTCCGGAATGTTTCTTGCTTTCACCCTGGGCGGAGCCCTGTTCCTCCATCAACAAAGAAAATATGGATCAAGTAAGAGACAGAATACAGGTGTCCGGTCCTGCCCCTGCCCCACAGCCACCTTCTCAGCCCTGCTGCTCATGCCAGGACCTCACTGAAAGCCCCCAGCTCTGCCTTCACCACCCCTGGTCCTACTCTCTCTCTCCTAGCTGGCGCCCTGCGGACAGCCCTCCCCAAGCTTATCCTCCTCTGCTCATCTTTCTCCCTCCGCTGGTCCCCCACTGCTGGCCAGGACTCATCGGATTTTCCTCCTGCAGACAAAGGAGAAGGTCCAGTGGAACCAGCAGAGCCTTGTCCTTACAGCTGCCCCAGGGAGGAGGAGGGCAGCACCATCCCCATCCAGGAGGACTACCGAAAGCCAGAGCCTGCTTCCTGCCCCTGAGCCAGCGGCCGGGATAGCAGAGGGGTCCCCACTGCTGTAGCCCTGGCCTCCATCCCACCCACCGCCTTCCAGAGGTTGAGACCTGGCAGCCCCAGTGCAGTCCCGTCCTCTCATCAGGCCCCTCTCCTGTGTACAGACTTGACGGAGTGCCTTTTGGAGACTGGCAGGGACAAGGACAAATAGGAATGTGGGGTAGGGTGGGACACAGGAGCCCTGGGAATATACACAGGTGTGTACGCTGCGGGAGGCCGCGGGCTCTAGCTACAAACACACTTCCAGCTACAAAAGCCCCACGTGCTGTATCGCTGACCTACAAAATCAGCAAAATAAAGTGACAGGACCACACTGCAGCTCCCCAGCTTCATCTCTGAAATTTCAGTCCCCAAACCAAGGCCACAGCCCGCCTCATCTCCCAGGTCAAGCATCTGAGACAGGAGTTTCCTCAGGTGCAGATGGTGGGGGGATGCGGGGGGCCCCAGCTGGAAAGGGGGAATGGTCCCCAGGCTGCGGGGCATCCTGCTCTGACTCATCTCCCTCCTGCTCCAGCCCTCCACCTCTCCCCTTTACTGGAGCCTGTCAAGAGCAAAAGGGTGCAGTGAAGTCAGGTCTTGAAATCACCCAGGATTTTCGGGGTGAGCTAGTTGGAGAGAAAGGAATAGAGAGCAGGACTCCGGCTGCTGCAAATGGCTTCACCCAGAGGCAAAGGCAGTCACAGTGGCACTTCCTCTAAGTGAAAGTGAAAGAGAAGTCGGCTACGGAGAGGACAGAAAAGAAACCTACAGGCGTTCCCAGCACCAGTGCGGACAGCCCCTCTTCTCCAGCCCAGGCCTCCGAGCAGGGTGGGATTGTGGAGAAGGGCGTGCGGGAGGCGGAGAGCGGCGCCCATGGGCTCGGAGGAGGGGTGGTGCCTGCTGCTGTGCCTGGCTCTGTCTGCAGCGGCAGAAACCGGTGAGTCGGGAGGGCTGGCAGGGGAGAAGCTGGCAGGGGAGAAGCGTGGGGGTAGTGAAGCCCCAGGGAGCCACCCTCCCCGAGATTCTAGAAGGGAAAGGGCGCCAGGGACGACTTCCAATCACCTCTGAGCCCAACAGGGAGAAGGCTCAGTGGCTGGCAAAGTAGGAACCAATGTGTATGGGGACAGAAGCTGAGAACACGGCAGGAAAAAGGCTAAATAAAGAGGGACCCTCTGTGGATGTGGAATGGGAGCCACCGTCCTACCAGAGAGGGTGTGGGCCTGTGAGCTGACACTTCAGAAGAGGAAGGGGTTCCCCAGGCTGAGAAACCACTTGGGAGGTGGCCCCAGAGGTGGGGGAGGGGAAGGCTACCGTAAGGCGGAAGACAGGGCAGACCAGGTAGGCTGGTGGGGGAGCAGTTTGAGAAGCCGAGTCAATGCCCCTAGCGACAGCAAATGTCCAGTCTTCTCTCCCCATGGCAGCATTTGCTCATTTGTATTTTTCCTGAGAATTCCTTTGACTGAAAATCATCTTTCATTCCACGGTTGGAAATAAGAGTGAAAGCATAAACCCTTGTGAGAAAGGCAAATCCAAGACTTTAATCGATACCAAGAAGTATTTGCCTGGAGCAGCAGGTGCTTCCCAGAAAGCTGGTTTGCGGGGTGGCAGGAGAATAGAGGACAACTTTCACCCCTTGCTGACCCCAGTTTGGGGTGCGGGTGGGAAGCAGGTACGGAGTAGCTTCCCGGCAAGAGGGTGCTCACCCCAGCCTTGTGCCCGCAGAGCCCGGCGCAGCAGAAAGGCAGTGGCGGCCGGTGGATGTGGTCCTGGACTGCTTCCTGGCAGGGGAAGGTGGGCACCGTGGGGCTCTTGCCAGCAGTGAGGACAGGGTGAAGGCCTTGCTTGTGCTGAGGCAGGTGCCAGTGTTGGACGACGGCTCCCTGAAAGACTTCACTGATTTCCAAGGGGGCACACTGGCCAGAGATGACCCACCTGTCATCTTCGAGGCCTCAGGTAAAAGCCATCCACCCTGCGTCCTTAGTCATTCTGGGCTCCCTCCACCGGGACAGCCCAGTTCCCGATTTCACCCGCCCACACCTGCTTCCCGTCAGCCCTGGTGTCCTCACTGCAACTCCCCCTCCACGGGCCCCCTCTTCCCCAGTGGACCTGATCCAGATGCCCCAGGCCGAGGCCCTGCTCCACGCTGACTGCGGTGGGAAAGAGGTGACCTGCGAGATCTCCCGCTACTTTCTCCAGGCCAGGGAGGCCACTGCGGAGACAGCAACTTGGTTCATCACCAACATGCAGGTCTCTGGAGGGGGACCTAGCGTCTCTGTGGTGATGAAGACTGTCAGCGATGCAGACGGTGGGGCTGTCAGGCACCCCACGCTGAACCTGCCTCTGAGCCCCCAGGGAACTGTGCAGACTGCAGGTGAGTAAATTGAAAGCAAGGAGCAGAAAGGAAGTTTTGTTTTTTTAAAGCAGTGACATTTGGGGTGATAGAAGAAAGGGAACAAGTCTACCTCCATCCACCACACCCCCCAGGGAAAACCCTGGGTCCCGAAGAGAAGGATGTTGGGAAGCCCTTACCTGAAAGTCCCAGCACAAAGACAACCTGTGTATTCTCCCCAGGGTGGAGAGCATTTTCATCTTGTTAGGTTGCCATAAGGAAATAAGACACATGATGCCATGCTGCTCACGCATGCTATCCGCTGTAGTCTTATTGAGCCAGTCACCAGTTTTCTCCCGGTGAAAAGCTAGCCTGGTGTAGTGCTTCGAGATAGAGCAAAGCACGGGACGCAGAATTTGTTCATTATCTCTTAGTAGTAAAGCCCAGTCCTTGCCCTCCCCACCTCAGCACATCCTCCAGGCCACAAGAAATTAAGAACATGATGACAGGTTTCCCCAGAGTCCACCAATCCAATATTGTGCCTCCAAAAGAGACAACCAAATCCAGAGAAGATTACCCTCCTATTCTTGGAAAGCTACAGAACACTCTAATCTTTCTGTGCTCCAACCTAAATTTATCCTGCTACATTAGAAAAGAAGGATCCTTATGTCTGTCCGGAGTCTACTATACTCTTGGCATGGTTAGGTATTTCCACGTTTTTATTTGGGGATTTTTGAAACCTACAACAAAAAAGGTAAAAAGATAATATAATGAACACCTATATACCCTTCACCTAGATTCACCAATTGTTATCATTTTGCCCCATTCTTTCTCTTTCTCTTTCTATACACACACACACACACACATAGATGTATAAATATTTTTCCCCTGAGCTAATTGAGAGTAAGTTGCAGATCTCACAACACTTGACCTCAGATGCTCCCATGTATAGCATGTATTAGTTTATAGCAAAGGACAAGGACATTCTCCTTCATAGTCACAAAACCACCATATCAAAAACAAACCAAGGTAGGGGTGTGGTTTACCCACAGTGTATGCGATAAAGCGGGGTGTAAAGAATTTAATAATAATAATAAAATGAACTAAAAGACAGCTTTATAGTCTCACCATCCCCCTACATTGGCAATTCTGAACAATATGAGTGATAAAATACTCCTCCCTGCCAGGACAGACAGTTCCTATTTCTCCCCACTACTGTTTGGTATGCTACAGATCATCATACTTAATATATTTTAAAATTGATACAATAAAACTCTCACATATAAAGTCCAAACTCAAATTTCCCAAATTATCCATGTAGTGTTTTTTGTTTGTTTGTTTTGAGACTGAGTCTCACTATGTTGATCAGGGTGGTCTTGGAACTCCTGGGCTGAAGCGATCTTCCTGCTTCAGCCTCCCAAGCAGCTGAGACTACAGGCACACACCACTGCACCTGGGCTCGATAATATTCTTTACAGTTTTCTTATTTAAGTCCATGATTCAAACAAGGATGGATCATGCATTGCATTTCCTTGTTGTATTGTCCCTTGTTTTAATCTAGAACAGTCTTTACAGCATTGACATTTTTGAAGAGTCCAGGTGAGTTGTTTTGCAGAGTATCCTACCATTTGGATCCATCTGATTGTTTTCCTCAAACAATTAGATCTAGGTCAAACATGTTTGGCACATATACTACTACTGTGTGCTTTTCTTTTCTTTCTTTTTTATTTTAGTGTATTATGGGGGTACAGGTGTTACGGTTACATATATTGCCCATGCCTCCCTGCCCGCTACTGTGTGCTTTTCAAACTCTCACTCCTGTGTGAGCACCACGCGCTGATGGCACCACGGGAGTCTAATAAACTGTTATTCCTGTTCGGTCTCCGCAGCAGCCTTGCTTAAGCAGATGAGCTTGGCACTTCTAAGTGACTTGTCAAAGGTCACAGGGCCAGTAAGTGGAACAACCAGAGTTCCAGAGTTTTTTCTGCTACTCAAGTAGTTCTTACCTGAGGGTCAACAGTAACCCATACTTTTACATGTGTATTGCCTTGGGGTTAGAGACCCCAGAATGGCGAAGACCACCATGTGTGCCATTCTGCCTTTCCAGAGCCCCATTTCTTTGTGGTTTTACTTCACAGGAAATGAGCTCCACTGGCCTCACTGGCCAGGGGAGAAGAAAGAGGCAGGTATACGCCCACAACATGCCCACGGCGCAGACACCAGGTGATCACAAGGAGGAAGAGGCACACAAATTACCCCTCTTTTTCTCTCCACAGTGGAGTTCCAGGTGACAACACCAACCCAATCCCTGACTTACCTGCTGGGGTCCTCAGCCTCCCTGGACTGTGGCTTCTCCATGGCTCCAGGCTTGGACCTCACCAGTGTGGAGTGGCGGCTGCAGCACAAGGGCAGTGGCCAGCTGGTGTACAGCTGGACCACAGGGCGGGGGCAGGCTGAGCGAGAGGGCGCCACACTGGAGCCTGAGCAGCTACACGTGGCTGGGGACGCTTCCCTCACCCTACCCAGCCTCACACTAAAGGATGAGGGGACCTACATTTGCCAGATCACCACCTCACTGTACCGAGCTCAACAAATCATCCAGCTCAACATCCAAGGTGAGGCCAGGACTGAGTTATCCTGGGAGAGGGGAAGGGATGTACCTATTGGGAATGTTTTCCAGACTGGGATCCAAACCCAAAGATTATTTCTTGAGAGGCAGCCTGCATTCCCGCAGCCTGTCTGCCATCTTCACCCTAGAAGCACAGATGGCATCAGATAAGGTGTCCCATTGGACTCTAGGCTAATTCCATCAAGAAATTTCCAGCTCAGGATCCTGCTGCCCTGCCCAGCTGTCTCCAGTCTCCCCAGTCCTTTTGGACCACAGCCTGAGAAGGAGCGGCAGCAAACCAAGGAGGGGTGGGGGGAGAGGTTTTGACCAGGAACACTTTATCACTGACATCCTTTAAAATTACTGGCTTATATAAGGGGATACGAAGTAATCCAGCCTTTAGTTGGCTTTTACTATTACTTTTTTGGAAAACATAGCCCCTCCCTGTAACTGATGGCCAGCTTCCAGGTGACCCCTCACCCCCCACCCCTGGGTACCCCACCACAGAAGAGACTTTAGCCTTCACAATCTACTCTCACTCTCAGCAAGAAGAAAAGGCCCCAGGCTCCTCTGCTGGCCCCAGGTGGATCCCTCTGGAATCTTATTCTTCATTCTTTCTCTAGCTCCCCCGAAAGTACGACTGAGCTTGGCAAACGAGCCTCTGCCACCCACGCTCATCTGCAACGTTGCGGGCTACTACCCTCTGGACATGGCGGTGACGTGGACCCGCGAGGAGCCAGGCGGATCCCCAGTCGCAGTCTCTGGTGCCTCCTTCTCCAACCTCAGGCAAAGCGCGGCCGGCACCTATAGCATTTCCTCCTCCCTGACGGCAGCACCTGGCCCTGCAGGTGCCACCTACACCTGCCAGGTCACCCACATCTCCCTGAAGGAGCCCCTTGTGGCCAGCACCTGGGTTGTCCCACCAGGTACTGGGAATGTCCTCCTTTCTCCACTTCCACACTTGGGCTCATGGCTGTCCTGCCCCCAGTGCATCTTTGGCCTTGTTCTCCTGCCCACACGCTTTGTTCACGGCCCAAGCTTCACACTCCTGCCTGTGCTCCTGGCTTTGTCTTTCCCAAGGTGGCAGCCACCACAGCCTCCACCACACATCCCCTGAGACTTCATTACACCCTAGTCTCCGTGGTGCCAGGCCACATGCTTGATTCCCAAGCCTGCCCTCTAGGAGCTTAGTCCAATACGGAGACAAGACTAGGTGGGCATGGAAGATGAACTAGAGGAGACTTTTGAGCCAAGTTAACTAGCTTAGAGGGAAAGGAACACTCAAGATGGAAAAAATGGCATGTGTGAAGGCCAAATATAAAACAGCCTAAAGAGAATTTGGGGAACTGCAAGGAGTCCAGCACCGCTAGAGCCAAGGGCACATGGAAAAAGCGGGAAATGGCTCTGAGGCTTCAGGGATAATTATATTTATTGAGCATTTACATGAATCAAGTGGTGTGCTATGCACTTAGCTGTATGACTGCATATATTACAACTCCCGTCTTATAGATGTGTGAACTGGCACTTGCAGGCATCAAATAATTTGCCCAAGGTTACCTACCAATCAATGGCAAAGAGAGAATGTGAAAACAGGCAGCCTGATTCCTCCTACTACACCCTATAGATCTCCATGGGCCTTCAAGCTGGAACTTAATCCTGAAAGCCATAAAATGTTGTTGAAAGGTCTGAAACAACCTGCACCTTGAAATGCAAACATCCAGGAGCACTGGGCATGATTTGGTCGCTCACTAGACTGTGAGCTTCCCCCAAACTGGGCTTTTGTCTCAGCTCATATTATTCCCCAACTATTTACAAAATCCCAGTTTAGCTGTCAACAACTAATCTAGGCTGGGTGTGGTGGCTCATGCCTGTAATCCTAGCTCTCTGGGAGGCCGAGGCGGGCAGATTGCTCAAGGTCAAGAGTTCGAAACCAGCCTGAGCAAGAGCGAGACCCTGTCTCTACTATAAATACAAAGAAATTAATTGGCCAACTAATATATACATAAAAATTAGCCGGGCACGGTGGTGCATGCCTGTAGTCCCAGCTACTCGGGAGGCTGAGGCAGGAGGATCGCTAGAGCCCAGGAGTTTGAGGTTGCTGTGAGCTAGGCTGACGCCACGCACTCACTCTAGCCTGGGCAGCAAAGTGAGACTCTGTCTCAAAAAAAAAAAAAAAAAAAAACAAACTGGAAGAAATCAAGAAAGGAGCAAGTGAGGAACAAAGGGGCAAAGGGGTAGGGGTTGGGCCCCTAACCACAAACTTGAGCTCTGTCAAAATAAAAGCCCCATGTCTTTTCCACTCTCCTGTCTTTCCCCATGCTGGTCCCACTGAGCCCTGCTGTGTGTTGAAGATGTGAAACAAAGACCCCCCCCCACTCAGTTGCTCTGTGTGACTCTGAGCTGTAATTAGGGTTCTGCTCCTTTGGAGAGTCACCAGGAATTTCAGGGTACCTACAGACTCCTGGCTCTCTCAGCTGTAGGGGAGACAGCTGTCCTTTTGTTCATTTCTAAAACATGCCTGGCCAATCGAGTGGAACTCAGATAAGAAAACTGTACGTGAGGATGGTGGAGAAAATGGGTGTTCGCTGGAGCCACCATCTGGGCACGTGCCCCGGGCCAGGCCAGGCCAGGCAAGCCAAGGACCTGGGAGGAAGGCAGACAGGAGCGGCCTGAGAGAACCCACAGTTGTTTGCCAGTGTGAGGTGCCCACTCAACTTCCTGTCGTCACTTCCTCTCGCTGGCACCTTCGAGAATCGGGCTGCTTCAGGCATGAAAGGCAAGAAAGCACTTCCTCTACTGACACGCAGAGCTCCAGTCTCCATAAAGACTACAGTGGCACACATAGGCCAGCCCTGCGGACTAAAGTGACATCAGACTACTAGAAAGAAAGGGTGCTCCTCCCTACTCCTCCCTTCCCCTCCCCAGTTACTCCAATCCAGACAACAACCAAGACAGTTCTGTGGTAGGAATTTGTATTTTTTTGGCCTTTGTTCAGAATACAGGAAATTGGTAAATATGCCACATGCCTTTGGTGGAAATACAACTGTTATTACTCTATACAAGTGTGAGATTGGGGTTAGGAAAAAAAGACAAAGAGGTGATGACAGACACACAGTGGAAACCCCACATCATCTCATGGCGAACTGAAGGAGGAGATGTGGGAAGCTCGGCTTCATTTGACTGCAAAGTCCCGGGGCTAGTTGCATATTTGCTCATGCACAGGGGTAGTGGGAGGGAAGGGGGGCAGCAAGGACACAGAAGAGGACATAGGGTGGGGTGAGAAAGAAAGTAGAAGGGCTAACACCCCTAAAAGGACAAAGCCGACTATAGCTGGTGAGCCTCAGAGGGACGGAAACCCAGGAAGGAATTCCCGTGATAGGGCTGGGTGGGCCAAGAGGGTGGATTTGCTCCAGGCTTGGGACACATCGAGGACAGTGGTGATTCTTCTCCAGCGGTGACCCCCTGCATTAGGCAAAGAGGAGCCCAGAGGAGAGTGGAGACCTTCGAGGGGGACGGTTGGGAGGGTACACTGACTGCTTTCTTCCAGCTCTTCAGTCCTGCCCTGGGGCAGGACGAAGGGGATGTGGGAAACAGGGGCGAAGGAAAAGGAAGGATGGGTTTGCACGGTGAAATGCTGCTGCATGGAGCGTGGGCATCCAGCCCCAGCCCAGTGTGGCCTCAGCCTCTTCCTGCTTGTGGACTGAGGATGGAATAAAGGGGGTGGGTATTTCCCCTTTTGTTCCCAGCCTGCCTCCTCCCCTCGCACCTGAGTTTATCCCATATAACATCCTATCCTGAAGCTCAGGTGCGCTGAGCAGCTCCCGTCCTCAGGTTCCACTGTCTGTACGCACAAACCACGCAAAGAAGAGGGAAACAAAGGAGGCAAAGTAGAATTCAGATGGGTAAGAGTGGTTTGAAGGGGAGCATACTACAGGAAGAACAGAGAGGCAGCCAGACAAGAGGGCCCCACAGCAGCACAGCAATGCACCAGCACACCTATCACAGACTGGCACGCCTCCCCCCCAAGGTGGAATTGGTGGGTCTACTGGACTTCTCTAAATCCTCAGGATGGGCCAGGCCTTGGGAAGAACCTCTCACCTCATCCCTATCTTTGGCAAGTACATGGGGATGGTGTGGAGAAAAGGATTTCACAGGAGTCCATGGGTCCTCACTTTTATCCCCCATACTCATGGGGCTATCTGGAAGAGCCTCATGTCTAACACCCTCACGTTTCTTTATTAGTAAGAAGGAAATAATGAGACCCTGCTTAATCAGAGGGCAAGAGTGGCTTCCTCTGAGCTTGTTATTTTCAAATTAGGCCCTTGACTCACTATTTCTCTGTAACTAACAGGCAGTCTCTCCATCTACACCAACAATTAACTGAGAGCTACATGAAAGTATTTGTCTAGCTAAAACGTTGGCTAGAAAAAACTTATTTGGTACCCTCATGAACAAAACAGAATGCAGCAGAAAACATGAAGAACAGACAGCTCCTTCCTGTTAGAGGCATATGGGACTGCTTCTAGGATGGAAACAAGAGTCCCAGTCTTTTCACAATCCACAAAAGTTTGTTCTCCAGGCCTATGGAGAACAGAGTAAAAAGTTGTAAGATCCCCAAAGACATAGAAAATCTTAGACTAATAGATCAGAAATAATTGCAAAAAACAAGTTTCACTTTCTAAAAGGGTGTTACACCAAAACCAAGTTGGACTTTAAGCTTCTTCATGCCTAGCCTAGGAGAAAAGCTCCACATGACCAGGGTGGCCCTGAATGAGCCGCCATCTTCCCAGCTGTTTAGTCTCTTCCAGCAGCCGGTCCTTTCTAGGAGACACCAGGGTCACCATACCTTCTCCTCCCCAAGTCTGGGCAGCTTCCTGGGCACTTCACCTGAGCCACTCCCCTTCCCCTACCCTTGACCTCCAGCTCTTTTGGGCTCTGGGGGAACTTGACAGTACATAAGCAGGGGGTGGGAGGGAGGCACCAGCTGTTGCTCTTCAGGTAGTGACTTCCAGACTGTGCCACGAGCAGCATTTCCAGTGTCGAGGGACGTAGTGCAAATGAATGCAACAAAAAAGGAGGCATGGATGATGGAGAAGCCTGGGCTGGGATGGAGGAAGGCAGATGCAAAAGTTTGTTGAGAGAACAGACAGAGAGAGAAGGACATGAGTTTGGGTGGCAATGGAGAACAGGAAAGGGGTGGCACATTCTCAAGTAAAAAAGTAGACTGGACACAGGAATCAGGAAGTCCCAGATGGAAAAGAGAAAGAGACAGGAGAAAACAAGAGGGCAAATTACATCAAGTTACTAGATATTCGGGTCTTTCCATTGTAGGTGCCCCATCCCCATCTCCCTCTGACCCAAGCCAGCGACAGCACAGCCCCACTTCCTCAGAACAGGAGGGGCCATCTCCATGCAACACCTTGCAGGGGGCTGGCTTGTCCATCAAGGAAGTACCTTGTCTTTGCCCTTCCCCCTCCCGACCAGGTGATGATCCCATGGCAGCAGTCTCCATACCTCAGTCAGAGCAGCCCCACTCCCCAGGCAGGCAGGCAGGCAGGGCTGGGAGAAGACTCCGGGACCTTCCCACCTCTTCACCCCACCAGCAACCTCAGCGATACTTACTTACAATAACTACCACGATGATGGCACAGATAGCTCCCAGCATGATCATCATCTGAGGAAACATGGATAAAAATGAGCCCTTGGGTTTGGGGAAGGAGGAAAGGAGCCAAATCTCTAGTAGGAACAGAACTTCCTCCATCCTTGGGACAGTGGAAGAAACCACCCATCACTCAGCAGACCTGCAGGCCTCTCAGGGAGGTCCCACCCTTCTGCTTCCCATAGGACCATGACCCCAGCACGACATCTGTAGCTTTTCAGAAATATAACAGGCCCTGCAGCTGGCTCCCTTTTGCTTAGTTCTTGTTGCTTTGGGGTTTTAAAAGGAATTCCAATACAGGCACAGACTTTGGATGTTTAGTCGATTAGTTCAGTTTTCATTGGGAAATGTTCAGCTCATTTCCGAAAGCTGCAGGTGTTTAAAAATATATATACTCAAGCCATTGTGCTGATGTTGGGTGTGTCTGCGGAAGGGCCAGGTGAGAATTTTTGCAGGCAACTCCTTTGGGGTAAAGCTCCTTAAACAACCATTCCAAACTCCTCAGAATATCACTTTCTTCCCCCAGTTAGGGGTTCTGAATACTCTAGCCTATCCTGGTGGCCAATTCAAGGTAATGCTTCTCAAGGAGAAGCTCCAGATTTCCTCCCAAGCGTTGTAGAGGGCAGAGATCCTGCACCATTACAGGCAAGAAACAAGTGGAGGCCCAGGAAAAGAAGGGGGAGAGGACAAGAAAATTCACCTTGCAGTTTTTCCACCAATACTTCCGCTTTAGTTTGGCAGCACTGCTCTCAAATTGTGACGCTCCTGCCTGCAAGGCATCAGCTCTGTCATCCAGCTCTGACAGCTTCTGGTCCCTCTCCAGGACCTTGTCCACATTCACACGCATGATGTCCACCACCTGATGGGGGCACAGAAACAAAGCTGATAAGCTCCATGCCAGACACAGTGGAAAGAACTACCACCAGGGAATTACAAGTCTGGCCCTGTGTAACTCTAAGGGATGCTTTGCCTCCCAGAGCCTTTAACTACCTCCCTATTTAAAACAAACAAACAAACAACAAAAACAGGTAAGATATTCTCTTTTGTTTCTAAACGTCTATGATTTGGAATCTTTCAGACAAATAGCTATCTACGTACCTCCTCCACTTGTGCCTGGGTTTGCTGTAGTCGTCTGTTACTGGTCGTGTTAGGAGGAGGGCCGGGGGGACCCCCACCTGGGGCAGTCCCTTCTGTCCCTTCAGCGGGTGGCTGAGCTGGAGCAGACCTGTGGAGAAAAGGGGGCAGAGTATACAAAGTAACAAACACAAGAAAGGGGCCAGGCATGGTGGCACATAGCTAAAATCCCAGCTACTTGAGAGGCTGAAGATTATTTGAGCCTAGGCCAGGCGCGGTGGCTCACGCCTGTAATCTTAGTACTTGGGAGGCCGAGGCGGGCGGATTGCTCGAGGTCAGGAGTTCGAAACCAGCCTGAGCAAGAGCCAGACCCTGTCTCTACTATAAATAGAAAGAAAATTAATTGGCCAACTAATACATATAGAAAAAATTAGTTGGGCATGGTGGCGCATGCCTGTAGTCCCAGCTACTTGGGAGCCTGATGCAGGGGGACTGCTTGAGTCCGGGAGTTTGAGGTTGCTGTGAGCTAGGCTGACGCCATGGCACTCACTCTAGCCTGGGCAACAAAGTGAGATTCTGTCTCAAAAAAAAAAAAAAGATTATTTGAGCCTAGAAGTATAAGTCCAGCCTGAGCAAGAGTGAGACCCCGTCTCTACCAAAAATAGAAAAAAATTAGCTGGGCATGGTGGCACATGCCTGTAGTCCCAGCTACTTGGGAGGCTGAGGCAGAGGGATCGCTTGAACCCAGGAGTTTGAGGTTGCTGTGAGCTAGGCTGCCGCCATGGCACTCTAGCTGGGGCAACAGAGTGAGACTCTTGTCTCAAGAAAAAAAGGGAGAGAGATTGTCTGGGGCTATCCTCTGATGCAAATGCAAGCATCTCCTCTGCCACAGTGGCTACAGGGACAAATGTGCCAGCCTTGGCCCAAATGGCATCCAGCTATAAGAAGCCTTTCACATGAACTGAACTTGAAAATCCCCACCCAGGATGAGAGAAATTTGGAGAAAAGACTAAACTCTCAGGACCAGCCTATGGATTGAACTGCAAAGCTTGAATATAAAAGCCCATGGGGACCCAGTTATTGGCTATGTTTCACACAATGATGAGAAGATCAGGGCTGCTATAAAGGACAATTTGGAGAATCACCAAAGACAAAGTCTATGTAGGTGGAGTGAGTCAGGACTGTTTGTTTGCTTTTTTTTTTGGCAGAGAAAATAGAGGTTTCACCTAAAATATGGGGCCCAAAACAATTGCATTAGTTATGGAAACTGGTCCAAGAGCATAGACAGGAAGCAAAAATGCTAGAAATAGTCCTCAATGTACATGCATCACAGACATTCTGTCCCTTCCTTTTCCAGATTTGGCACAGTCTCAGGAAACTCCCCTAGTTTCTTACGTCCCAAAGAGAAATCTTGGTGTACACCACTGTACACATGAAGACTGTACTCTCTTCTACTACCACTCAAGGCTAAAGGATCCCTTAGCCTTAGAAGGGAATATTCTATGTGGGATCTTCAAGAGAAATTCCTTTCCATCTCCAAAAACATGGAGGCTAAATTCACTTCCTAAAGAATCCCCAGAAGTATAACCTAAGGCATGAGATTTTTCTCCGCTAAGGAAGAACCCAAGCAAAAGGAGATTTCTCAAATTTGATGGAGAATGGAAATTACAATAAGAATTCCTCAAACAGAAGCAGAACCTCACAAAACATACTTCACAGGAACTGTGCAAGAGTAAACACACTAGAGATTAAACTATCACAAAGTTACCAAAAAGGAAATTTATTGACTAATCACAATAGAATGCCCAGAAGCTCCTCCTCAACTAAGTGAATTTCTTTCAGTGTAAAAGGTAGAGAATAACCCCTCAGAGAGGCTATACTAACAGATTACATGTGACTCATCCCCACTGAAGGAATAGTTTTCACATTTCCCTCTAAGGTGCAAAGTAGACCAAGAAAAGAAAAGATACAAAGCCATGGGAGCCACAGATTCATGTGCTGCTACTGAGCTAGCTAAGCCATCCAGTTCTCAACTAAAGGCAGAAAATTCAATAAGTAGGTAGTAGCCAATGTTGGAAGCAGTCCAGGATGGTGGCACCAATGACAAAATTAAGGTCACAGACCTCGTGATGCCCGCTAGCCATCATGGTTTCTCTACCTCCTCCCAATCATCCCACATAGCATCCCCTGGATGCATCTGGAACCAGTCTGCTGAGAAAGATGCCTCTCCCAAAAGTGAAAAACAATTGGAGTCCAAATTGGGTTTGTCCAAAATGTATAGAATACTCATATATAGTTAAAACCACAGAAGTCAAAGAGAAGTGAAATGGCTATAAAGCATTTAGGGGCCCACTTCACTTACTACTCTTTGGGAATTGCGAACACTCAGCAGTAAAATATTCAGGGATAATTACAACCCTTATGTAACACAAGTAAATTTTTTCCTTTTTTGTCACCAAGAGAAGCAACACAAATACAACTAGGACCAGGCTGGGTCTCCAGTCAGTAATTAGAAAGGAAAAGTCTCTATTAGACATATTGTGGTCTTGACAGGGAAGTACTTCATTTGTCTAGCCATAGTACTCCCTCAGGATCTTGGGACGCCAGTGATGAAGATGGCTAGAGACTAAACTGTGTGTGTTGGAGGAAAGGGGGGGAATGCTCAGCTGTCCCCATTCCTCCTCCTCCAAATACTTAGCTGAGACTCGATGATAGGAAAACCTCCTTCCTATAAGGGTGGCCTTGGGATGAATGCCACTGCTCCTTGAATCTTTCTGAGCTGCTCACCTAGCACCAGAGAACTGGCAGACAAGTTTCTGGAACTTTGCTCACTGCCACGCGTGGGGTACACATCGCACTTTGGGTGCAGGGCATACACAAACCCAGAGATTGCAGAGCAACCCACGTTACTAACTGGCAGATGCACCCATGACTGTCTTTTCAGAGGCTCTAAGCACTGATTGAATAAGATGATAAGAAAGGGCTTTCGAGTCCCTACACAGTTGTCTCCATCCTCCCACCCTCTTCAGTACTCCACTATACTGAGACCAGGATAAGGTGCCACTCAGGTGAGAGGAGAGGGTGCAATGAATGTGGGCCCCCTGCGCCCCTGCCCGCCCGTGGGGTAGTAGCTGTGGCTGGCGCGAGAACGGGGCGAGCCCCGCCGCTGGGTGGCCCGGTCTGGGGCAGCTCCTGGCGGTGGTTCCCGGCGTCGCCGCAGCTGCTGCAATGCGCCATTTTCCGTCCCGCACAGTCGGGCGCCGGGGGTTAGAGTTGTCAAGGAGGTGTCCAGCCCCATACACCAGAGTCAACTCACATTTTTCTGACAGAGGGAGTGCGGGTCCGTCTCCTCTCCCGAGGCCGCGGCGAGACACCGCCTGGGCGACGCTGCGGCTGAAGTGGACTGAACCGCCGAGCTCCGCCCACAGCCGACCACCCGAACTCCAGCCGCGGCGGCACTTAACTGCGGCGGGCGCGCCGGGCCCGCCTTTATTAGTGCTGGCCACGCCTCCCGGATGACGTTGCAGCCCCGCGGCCCAATCCACTTCCAGGACGGCCGCCGGGTGCGGGCGAAGCGGGCGGAGGTCCCAGCGGACTCCAGGAACCGGAGCTCGGAGCGTCACTCGCTCGCTGAGCGCCGCGGCTGTGGTTTGCTCTCCTGTCCAGCGAGGCGACTGGGCGCGGCAGAGGTGCGGGCCAGAGCCTCGAGGGCGCCCCAACAGTTTGAGTTAGGCATTGTTGGCGCCTCCCAACCAATCCCTGGCAGTGCCCGAAGTCGGGCCCGCCCGCCGCCCGGAGCCGGGTTCCGGGCCAGCCCACGGCTCCCGCAGACAGCCCCTGGCGGGCCGGCGGGCTGCCGGCACTCTGCAGTTCGCCCGAGGCCGACGTTCGCCCGTTAGTGCACGGCCCTGGCATGCAACCCGGCCTGCGCCACCCTGCTCCCGCCGCTGCCGGCTCGCAGGATGCGGCACCCGCAGGGCAGAGCCGCAGGCGCCCAGAGCCAGCTGCCGAGCGGGGCCAGTCCTGCCAAACGCGCGAAGGCTTCCTTCGTCTGTTTGTCAACGTAGCAAAGTTGAACTGTGCCCCCAAGCCTGCTCTTCCTGTCCCCCCAGGTAGGCTACCGTATCTGGTCGCTTGCCCAGACCAGAAGCCTGGAAGCCATCCTAGATTTTCTCCTCTTCATCTTTGCTCCTCCAATAATTCAAGTCGACTTTTTCTTCTTAGCGTTTGAAGAATTCTCTCCCTTCTTCTGACTATTATCCGTTTCCTGGACGCCACCAGTTGTAAAACTCACCATTATTTTATGTCCCGCTAAGAGGTTACAAATCAACTGTGACAATGCTTTCCCACCACTTAGAATTTTTATTTTACGTGTATTGAAAGTGTAATCGCTCCTCCGCCTTTTGGCTAAGATCAAGTATATTGAAAGTGTAGATTTATATATATATATGGATTTCTATCAAATTTCACTCTTAGGCCGGGCGCGGTGGCTCGCGCCTGTAATCCTAGCACTCTGAGAGGCTGAGGCGGGAGGATCTCTCAAGATCAGGAGTTCGAAACCAGCCTGAGCGAGACCCCATCTCTACTAAAAATAGAAAGAAATTAATTGCACAACTAAAAATATATAGGAAAAATTAGCCGGACATGGTGGCGCATACCTGTAGTGTCCCAGCTACTCGGGAGACTGAGGCAGAAGGATTGCTTGAGCCCAGGAATTTGAGATTGCTGTGAACTAAGCTGATGCCACAGCACTCTAGCCTGGGCAACAGGGTGAGACTTTGTCTCAAAAAAAAAAAAAAAAAAAAAAAAAAAAAGGTTATTGTATATTGTATGTCCAACAATTTTAGCGCTGAGAAGTATTCTGTGGTATGGTTATCAAACCATAATTTAACCATTTACCTGCTGAAGGACATTTGGACTGATTTTAGTTTGGGGCTATTACAATAAAGCGCGCCTTTCATGTACAGGCTTTGTGGAACATAAATTTCATTTCGTGGATAATTCTTAAGAGCAATTGCTGGGTATAATGTAATTGCATGTTCTAGTTTATAAGAATCGCAATGTGTTTTCCAGAATGGCTATACTATTTTAGATTCCATCAGCAATGTATGAGGGATCCAGTTTCTCCACATTCTCACCAGCATTGGGGTTTCATATTCTTTTTTAGAGCACAGGTTGATTGGGCCAGGGGTGTCTCTATGTTGCCCAGGCTGGACTTGAACTCTTGGGCTCAAGGGCTCCTCCCACTTCAGTCAGACTCTGAGTACTGAGACTACAGCACACGCCAACATGCTCCAGCTGATTTTTTTTTTTTTTACCGTTCTAATAGGTTGTTAGCTAATATATCATTTGGTTTTAATTTTCTTTCCTGATGCGTTAGATGATGTGAACATCCTTTACAAAGTGTTTATTTGCCTTCCTGTATATCCCCTTGCATGCAACATCTAATCTCATCGTCTTCAGCCCATCTTCTAATTGGCATTGTTTCAATTTTTACGCATTGATTTTGAGGAATTCTTTACTATCATAGATACAAAGTACTTTTGCAAATAATGTGGTTTCTCCCAGTATGTCATCTGGTTTTTTAATCTCTTAGCATGGTCTTTGGTGCGAGCAACAGTTCTTTAAACTTCATCGCACCCCAACAATACCGCGGCGTCCAACCCCCCCCGCCACCCGACTCGGCGCGGTGTGTCCATTGCTGCTCATATTACGCCACCCTTCTCTCATGAACACCGCGAACTCCCTGAATCCTCCACCGCTCGCCCTCGCTCGCAACCGCGCGGCCACAACACGCTCACCTCCGCCACCTGGTCAGCAATCTCTCACAGCTGTAGCCTGGGCTAATAACCGCATCAGCCACACATGCGGCTACCCCTCCTTTATATACTACTACCCAACCTCCTTTAGTTGTCCAGCATAATCTTTCTCTATTTTAGTGCCACACAGTGTCGGCTCTTGCTCAGGCTGATCTCAAACTCCTTAGCTCAAGTGATCCTCTCGTCGGTCCTCCCAGCAGTGCCGGCCTTAAGGGATGACCTCCGCAGCCAGGGCTGATTAGCCCCGCTGTCTTTGCCCATCATGTTTATTGCTAAGGACTTTTTCAGAAACATCCTTCCTCCATTGAATCTGCTTTTTCCTGGCCCCTTCCTGTCAAAATCAGCCTCGGGCTAGTCCCAGCGCTACTTGGAACTGAGCAGGAGGATCACTGAGCCAGCAGTTTGAAGTTGCTGTGAGCTAGTGAAAGGGGCCACTGATGCCCACTGGCACTCTAGCCCGGGCAACAGACGACTCTGTTGCAAAAAAAAAAAAAAATCAGTTGGGCATATTCGCGTGCTGTCTTAATTCTGGGTTTCTATTCAGTACCATTGATCCTATGTGTCTCGTCTTCCCACCCAATACCCATTGTCTTGCGTTACTATATCTTAACGAAGTAACATCAGGTAGAGTTCTCTATCCCTCTCTTCTGTTATTTCCTGCTTTTCAAAATTGTTTTAGCAATTCTAGTTTTTGTCTAGAAGGACAATTTTTAAATGTATTATTCAGGTACAAAGTTATAATATTAGGGAAGATTACGGGGCTGGTGTTCTACTCACAGTAGGGTGACTAAGCAAATAACAATGTACCCATCATATTTTAAAGATACTAGAGAGAAGATTTTGAAGTTATCACACACAAAAAAAGATAAACTGTGTAAAATTGATGTATGATAATGTACCCTCATTTATCATTATGGCAACATAAACACTGCATTGAAACATCACACTCTACACCCCCATACCCCTCATCGTCCCCCAATGTAATTCATCCGTGTCAATTATCCCAAATACAATTAATAAAAATAAAAATATTTTAATGACCGCCCCAAGTAACCCCCTATCTAAAGACCAAAAGCTAGTAAAGCAAACTGGTTTCCAAACAGGTAGCTGAGTCCGCGAAGCTATTTGACTAAGGGCATTTGCTAAAAAGGAATTTGAGCATGGTGGCCTCCCCCATGCCTAGCGCACCACTAGGAACCACACGCCGCTCTACCAGCTCTCTCTCACCTCGCCCGCTCTCACACCACTCCAACGCCCAGAATCTCAAGACTGTTCCTCATTTAAGAGTGTATTCAAAATAGCTATACTACACTCCGGCCTTCAGAGGATACTACCCGAAAATTGTTTGCTGGAACCACCTTGCCTGCTGGCTTCTTCGTCTTTTCTTTCTTCTTTCTTTGTTCTTTCTTGTCTTCTTTCTTTCTTCC